TTTCCGAACGGGTACCCGATTCCGTTGCTGATTGATATATTCACATCGTCGTTACGTCGTTCTTCAGCTGTTGTAGTGTTGCTACCCCCGCGGTTGCCATAAAGCGATGAGGAGGTTCTGATCGCTACCGTTCGTAGCCTGCTTCAGTCCTCCGACGGCCTGCGCGGTTCTTGGTGACCGTGGCGACGTTCCAGCCGGTTTAATTTTCGATGACGTCAGTACTATGAAGGACCGGTGGCTAAATTTTGCGGAAACTTCTCCACGGTCTCTAACCCTCCTCCTTTCTTAACCGTTGTTGGGAGCGGAGACGTCAGAGTAGCGCCCGGTATTTTAAGATTGTAAACAACCCTTCCGGCGCAGATAGCTTAGAAATAGAACTCATTCAGATGCGCTTGAGGAGGTGTACCAACTAGCGAAAGTTAAATGGGAGGGTCGTTCTTGTGTTCAGTACTTTCGGTAACGTGTCCAATATTGGCGCTGAAAAACGATTAACCGTTTCACCAAAATCCGTCGGTACCACGTTAATCCGCTGGGCGGTTGTCGTTACACGGCATAAATGCAGCTGTTGTAACGAATGACCCGAAACAATGGTTGAACTAACTACAGCTGCGTGGGCTTTGACACGTAATGACCGATTATATGACAGGATGTCTTAAGGACTTTCTCTATTTCTTCTGGTCACAGGTGACGTCAGTGAATGTTGAGATTAAGAAAAGTAGTATTACCCTGTTAGTCAAGCTGAATAAGCGTAAACATTTGATTCAATTCACAGACTTTTCTTGTAGACGTCGAACAGGAAACCAGCATGCAAAGTGAATGAACATGATTGAGACATGTGCTTTTTGAGAGGATCTCCTATCTGCGATTCAGTAGCTGAATTTTATATAGAAAGTGTTGGCAATCTGCCAGTACAGCTGGCGTAGTAAATTAAAGTGGTTTTGCGTGTATAAATGGTTCAAGTGATGATCTCTGCAGGCACGCACATCTATTAAATAACGTTCTTGGACTTAAAAGAATTGTGTTAATGGCGTCTCAACGGACGGAAGGAAGCTAGTTTTATCTAAAAGAATAATTGCCTTGTTTGTCGAAACCGACAAACAAAGATTATTCAAGCATTTCAGTCAGGCATAATATTTCTACATAATTTCGATCGCTAGTTTTTTGGCTGAAAATTATTCAAGCCGTGTGCTTTAATTTGACAGCATTTTTGTTGATCCGTAATTATTCACGGTTAAGGATGATGTTGACTTTAGCATTTTTATTGATATCAGGTCGGCAGGATATTTTGCTTAACCTTTGGCTCCGACTGCTTGAAATAATGCTAAACCATCATTATTCTTATGAACTGAGCGAAAGTTCTTTTCTTTTGGATTTGCTGTTTGATAGGAAATTACTGATGTATTTATTCTTTGACTTTTATGTTACATTCTTATTTGCACGACAGCCCAGTTGATCAGTTATCGCCAGGGTTTGCAGGTGTATTTCGTTCAGCAGATTAATCGGGTATAATCGTCTTTTGGACAGTTACATCAACGAGAAATAGATTTTCGCAGACTGCTTTGGCGAGAATGTTCTTGTTATTAGTATTGTGTCCGTATGGTTGCATTAGTGGGGGCTTCAAAATGCGTTGAAATTCCAGTGGCATAAGCATGTTGTCTGGAACTACGTACCAAACAGGTGTAGCGCTGAACAGAAGTTTAATTTCGTTAAAGATGCTGCCTCAGTTCATGCAGTTCAATTTGTTTAGGAAAATAGAAAGGCGGGAACGTCTAATTCTTTATGATGATTCGATTTCTGTTCACGTATCATCGTATATGTTTATGGGAATTTTTTAAAAATTTTGTTTTCAGTACTATTTTGGCGACATAAACCTTATTAAAGACAAGTTTATGAAGTCAGAAATTGAAAAAAGTGAAGGCTGTAAGTTTATGATGAAATCATTTGGTTTTTTTGGTGCTGTTTAAATTGCGATCACAAATGTAGTTGCTGTTGCTCATTAGGGATTCCTGTGAGTAAACTGATGACTTTCAACCGGCTGAAAAAATTATCTGATGACCAGTCCATGGTTTTGGCGGCCCTTCGGAAATCAACTAGCGGTTTATTAGAGGTTTACTTGCAGCATTTTAGTCATATTACTATTATACTTGTTTCTTAGATTGATGAAGCTGAATCACGAATTCGACGATCACCTTTGAAACCACTACCTGCAGACCCCGCCAAACACTGGCAAACAGTCAGAATGCGCACAGCTTACGTCGTAAGTAATCCGATTATGCTCAAACTTGACTTAGTTTTCGAACTTTTGCTTCGATTTGGCATTGTTTATAGAAAGGTTTTCCAGAAGACTGCACCTTAGATGATCTTGAAAAGTTTTTTAGTCAGTTTGGCAAGATGGAAAGTGTGTTTATGCGCAGAATGCCGGGAACAGATAAAAAGTTTAAGGTAAATTTAGAAACCTTTTCGAATTATGTTGTAGCATAATAGTAGTAGAATTCGTTGATCATTTATCAGTTTCATTTATTTTTCAAATTAAAGTTTATTTGCTACAGCTGCAAAACGAATTCAAGCTGTTGTTAGACAGACTTACAAGTCTCTTTCAAAGACTGCGAAAAACTGAAACAGAATGAATTTTCTAGAGATTGAATAAACCATTCAGAAGTTGAAAACTGCATTCAATTTTATATAAAACTCAGTAATTATATATTTTGTTCATGCTTCAGTCGTTCCGATAAAAGCAATGGCTGCGCAGGTGTTGACTCATCTAATCATCAACAATTACTAATTTTTACATGTGTCTCACTAACCGTTGTCTTGATGGATTGCTTCTTTAAGAAGCATTTTTCGGTTGCTTGTTGCTTCTAAGGTAAAATAGTTGATTCTGTATTCATGAATCAGCATTACGAAGAAAATTTGCTATTAAAACCAATTTTCTACTTTCTCGGGACGTTGGCATCCATGGTGTCATTGTTGCACACCACTTCTTACTCTTGTGAATAATTGCAGCACTTCTGCTTGCAGAAATAGAAAACACTGTCTTTTGGTCGGCAGTTCAAGAACTATACATTTCAGATTTACCTTGATCGCTTTTTATAGGGATCTGTATTGGTTACCTTTGCTGATAAGAACCAGCTCGAAGCCTTCCTAACGCTTGAATCTGTTAAATACAAAGATGAAGAGCTTTTACGAGAACTGGAGTACAAGTAAATCTAGAGATGACTTTGATTACCTTTGCAATTTAGAACCGATCACATTAAGCGCAAGGTAGCTGAAGGGAAGCAAAAGAAAGCAGAAAAGAAACGTCAGCGCCAGGAGAACCGAAAGACTTCTGCCGCGTCTTCTACATGTGAGGTCAGTTTGTAGATTTTGAAAGCCTATTGAGTACAAAGCCGTTCTTCATTAAGGTTGACAGTTTTTTTCAGTTTTCGTTTTATTATGTTTATTTCCTTGAGTCGTTACAGTTGCTGAAAGTCTTTCGTTGCAGGTTCGTTGTATTATCTGATTTTCAATACTCGTATCGATTACTGCGTCGTGAAAACAACAATTTTTATCTGTACACAAGTCTGAATCTGTTGTTCTTCAGCCTTGCAGGTTCCCGTAGAACGTTCTCGAACAAATGCTAAAGGCTTATGCTTGACAGAATTTTCACACACGGCCATCATATTTTCAGTTCTACAAAGAATGTTTTTTTCAGGCAGAATAGTCCTCATTCCATGCCTAACCCCGTTATTTCACCTTTATGCATTGATGTCAACACTTTTGACACATTAAACGTTGTTGGTTAATTTTCAGTAGGACGGTCTTTATACTATATAGCAACAATGTGCTGGTCAGTTTCCGCCAGGCAAAGACCAGGCTGGATTTATTGAAAAGATAGATTCATATATCACTATGCTAAATGGCTTCCGCAAACTCTGGAAACAAAGGATATCTCTATGTTTAACTGTAACTGTCGCAGTTTATAAGATTCGGTTTTCAAGCCTTTCGGTACAGTTTCACCTCCCTGTTGCACTTAAAGGTTTGTTTTGGCAAACGGGTGTTCTCGAAATTTTTGACGTCCGAAAATCGTTGAAGGACCGATTTTCGCAAATGAATTGCGTACCGAAACCATCCGATTACGAAGATCATTTCTTGTATTACGCAATAAAACAATATATTTTGCGCAGGCATATGACCGAACATATTAAATATCGCATTCTTCCGAAAAGGAAACATTCGCAAGGGCCAATATATTTCTCTTGACAGCTTATATTAAACTGTTCACGTATCTCTGTTTCGACTTCGACAATAGATATGGTTCTTTCATGTATTTCTTCTAAAATGAAAGTGATGCCCTCAGATATTTCATAATATTTAAGGTATCCACATCGTTGAACTATGTGCTGAATCAAATGTAGAGTCGAAGCTGATGAAACCGGCGTAAGAAGAGAGCTGGAATCGTTTATTTTTCCCAGTGATTCCCTGAAGGGTGAAAATCTGTCAGAAAATCAGGAATATTCATTTTAACGTTCAGTAAACTGACTTCTGCCGACTTGGCTTCTTTAAGTAGCAACTTAGCGTTAACGCATTTTTCGACATTGTTATCAACATCTTCATCCTCATCTCCCATCGCCGCTTCCCCTTTCAGGTCCCGGAGGCAGACACGTCAGAGAGAGCTTCCAACGTTCCCGATCCTATGTCAGAGCCTGAGCTTCGGCAAAAGACAAATGGAGTCTGGAACAGACTCCTTCCATATATTTGCACCAGGTTAATCTGGGCCCTCCCCTGGGCCTTCTGCCGGTCGGATTTGCTAGGAACAGTTGCTTATCCTTCCTTTCACGAGGCATTCGCAACACATGCCCAAGCCATCGCAGCTGTGACTTCTCAATCTGGAGAAGCAAAGGCTGTA